GTAATATATATATACACAAGATAGTTAAAATTGTTATAATACTAATTTCTCTTAGTTCATTGAAAAAAAGTTTGTGCTAATATTGTTTGGACAATTAAATGCCTATGTCTTGCACTCTGAGTAACTAATTAAGATAACAATAAACAATCTATTAACCATTGTTACTCTCCTATTGTTTTTACTTTTTTTTCTCTTTAAAATAAAATTTTTTTAAATCAGTCTACTCAAAGGTTCAAAATGCAAAAGGTGGTAATAGGTCAATTATTCTATGTTTCCAAAAGTGGTTTTCCTTATCAAAGTAACACATGTTGACTCTGAAAACTGGAAAGTATAAAAAAGTATCAAGTTACAGGGGGGAAGTCACTATATAAAAGTCACTGTAAGGTTTACCACAGCCCTTCTAATCTTTTCAATGCATTTTTTTGTTAGACAGGACTATAAGATTATATTATACAGTAGTATTCCCTTATCCCCTTATCCCCTTATCCAAGCAGGATACCTTCTAAGACCTCCTCTGAAATCATGGATAGTGCAAGTCACTTTGTTTTTTTTATACATACATATCTATAATAAAGTTTAATTGTAAATTAAGCACAGCAAGAGATTAACACAGCTAATAATAAAATAGGGCAATTTTTTTAAATTATGCAAATGTAGTCTCTCAAAATATCTTTTTATTTAATACTTTCAGACTGGTTAATGTGAGTGATCTGATAAGGGGGACCAGTGTATATGCAACATTATGTTATTCTATCATATACCTATATATGGTTCATATATATCTGTATTGTATACCTATATTGTATGTATATCTATTTTATCATGTATCATATGACAGAGGACATAATATATGTTTTAGGACATAATATATGATAGACACTTACATGATGTATGATAGAAATACTTTTGTCTATGGCCATACCACCTTGAAGCGCCTGATCTCGTCTGATAGAAATATTTTATTTTCTTTACTGTTAAAAGTTACTGAACTATGCCAGGCATGGTGGCTCACGCCTGTAATCCCAGCACTCAGGAGGCTGAGGCAGGAGGATCATTCCAAGTTCAAGACAAGCCTAGACTCAAGGCCAGCCTGAACTGCATAGTGAGACCCTCTCTCAAAAAGACAAAAAAAACACCAAAAGTTACTGAACGAAGTGTGAAAACCTGCTCTAGGAACACCCTTATAGTTTGGATCAAGTTATTTTAATAATAAATATTTTCCTTAAATATTAAAATAAACTTGTGACTATCCTTATTTTATCCTTAAAATAAACTTGTGAATAATGAAATTTCACAAGTTCAAGATCAACTTTTAGTCCCAGGACCACATGCAACTTGTCAGAACTTTATGTGCCACCCTGGCCAAAGTTAATAGAAAAAAATGTCATTGTGTATTTGATTTATGCTAGTTAAACTGCTTTGAAAGTACATTTCATACCAAAAAAAAAAAAAAAGAGGGACTAATAACAAAATTAGCATCACCTCTTTTATAAATGATGCTGGTTAATTTTCCTATTCCACCTTTGGCTGGGCAAAGGTGGAATTTTAAGATGACCTAATAGAAGACATTTTTCCATATACATGGTGAGTTACAAGAAGTATGGAGGATGTACAACCACAGATTTTTAGTCTGTACAAAAATAATCTAAAACTGAAGTTAATTATCTTTTAAAATACAAAATTTACTTTTATTAAATAGGCAATGTGTATGCATAGTATATTTCTCATTTTCCTATTTCTTATGTAATGCTATGAGAATATTAATATACGCTGGGCATGGTGGCACATACCTGTAGTCCCAGCACTTGGGAAGCTGAAACAAGAGGATCACTGCAAGTTTGAGGCTAGCCTGGGCTACAAAGTGAGTTCAAGGCCAGCCTGAACTACACATATCCTATCTCAAAAAAGGACCAAAAAAAAAAAAAAAGAAAGAAAGAATATTACTATGTGCTGTTCACTGTCAAACTTTGGATCTAATAAATAAATGATATGGATCTTTGTTACATTACCATCCATACAGTACAAACATTTTAAACATACCATGGAGGCAAATATCTCACAGAATTTAGAACACCTAAATAATGTTACTAGTTGAATATGGTTCTTTTTCTTAATGTCCCTAGATTCCAAACTTGTATGTAGAGTTTATTCTTCAGAGTCAAAGCTCAAAAAAAATTTAACTCTTTGGCAGTAAACTAAATTTAACAGAAGTGTGTAAAACACTTCTATCAAGTAAAAAACAACTGAGGTGTTTTAAATACTTCACCACCAAAGAACTTTGAAATTTTTCATAAATCTATATTCTTACATCTGCCAAAAAAAATCTAAAGTACAAGATCATAGGACAAAGTAGTCTAGCAAGCATTGTGAGGTAAGACCTTTCAGATTACAGAGGAAAATATAGTTTTAAGCCTCAAATTCTTCTACCATGTAAGAACTCTAAAAGCTACATCATGGGCTCATTAAGATATCATTACAACACCTTGTAAAACCACTAAACAGTAAATACATCTTCCTTGGTTAATCAAATCTGAAAGAACTACGCATTCATGTGAAAACTGGTGATCCCACTAGTACTGAGGAAAACTGGCCAGTTTTTTAAAAGTATCATCAAAGTGGGAAGTGCCTTTTGTAGCTCAAATACATTTTGTGAATTTCTGTCTTGTTACTACGACTCTGTATCAGGCATCTGTTATCTTTCGTTACACAGAGGCTGCCTTTCTCAAGCTAGAAAGGAAATACATAAATTTTCCTGAGGGGCAAGACGAAACTATTCAGAACTCAATGCCCAACCTGGTTTTTTTTTCATGCAAAGCTTAGAAAAGAACTTAATACCTAGGCTTCCCCCACCCCCAGAGCTGGTTATAGAACCCAGGACTGTGTACTTGCTAGGCAAGCACTCTATTGCTGAATTACACCCCGCAAGGCTTTTTTGTTAATCCTAAATATGATCTTGTAAATGGTGCCTCGGAAAGAACTCAAAACTTCGGGCTGAGGATATAGCTCAGCGACACAGCACCTGCCTGGCAAGCGCAAGGTCATAAGTTTGATTCCCAGTACCAAACAAACAAAAAACCTCAAAACTTCTACAGAAACACAAGGGCAGTGTCCCCATAAATTAGGCAATTTTTCCATTAAAGGGGAACACTGGTTTTGTGGAAAATGCAGGAATAAGGAAAAATCAAGGACAACTTTCTAGACCTTGCTGAAGATAGTCTACTTCCCTTACTCAAGGAGGCTCAGATTCCTCACGTGAAAATTAAAGACTACATCAGTTCTCTCCGTGGATCTTCATAAAATTCTGAACACTGCCTTTTCCTACGCCCCTAGTAAGCTTCCATAACTTAACATGGGGGGGGGTGTCAGGATAGGTTCTGGCCACAATTTTGAGGACTTTTTCAAAGTATTTGGTTAATAATTTGACAGAAGTGCCACTTTCAGGTAGCAGTTACGCAAGGGGGAAGGGGACAACCCGCCTTGCTGGTCAAGGGTGACAAACTTCGCCGGAATGCTAGGATATGCCCATCCCACCCGACGAAGGTGGCTAATCGCACACTGGGCCCTGCAGCCAGACGGCGCGCGCACTCAGGGTGCAGCCCCGCGGCTCTGGAAGGCCGGGGTCCCCCAGTGCGTGCCGGGTCGCCCCCGCTGCTGTTCCAGGGGTCCTCAGAGCCCTAACTTTAAAGCAGCACACCCCAGACCCAAATGCTCCTCCCTTCACTTTTAAGCCCGGCTCCATCTCTTCCTAAGTCCCCCCAACCACACCGACTCGCACAGCCGGAGCGCGGATGAGGAAGCGTCAGAAAGGAAGTGCCAACAGTACGAAATGCGGCGCCAGAAGATGCCAAAATTCTGTTTTGTAAAACCCCAACCCAACTGCAGCTCCTCCGGTGAAAAGACATCGGTCGGGTCGCGAGAAGCTGGCAGCCGGGGAGGGGAGTGAGGGAAACGAGGCGCGAGGTCCTTACCCGCTGCAAGGCTGGCAGCTGCCGGCCGCGGCCGGTGACTCCTGTACCAGAGGCCGGAGGCGGCTCCCCGGAGCCGCAAGGAGGCTGCCATGCTGCCTCGCCCCGCCTCCCAGCGGTGACCTCCGCCGCCGCCTCCCCGCGGGCCCACTGACTGCGAGTGTGCGCAGCCGGGCGGGCGGGCAAGGCCACGGCCACGGGCCGCTCGCGCACGCGCTCTCACTGCTCTGGGCGGGCGCTCGCCAGCGGGGGCAAGGAATGCGGCGCCGAAAGGAGCGGCCGGGAGTGGCGGGGACTGTCAATCACCTTACAGACAGGGGCGCGAACCAATCAGAATTCCCAAATTTTCCGACACTCTAGCTCCACCCCCAAGTAGTTCTAAATTTACATCCAAGGTTTGGAAGTCTCCTACTTGACCAAAACGCCGAGGTTGTGTGAAATGCGGTGGCTGTCGCTCACTACAAACTCCTCCTAGCACCTACACCCCAGCACCGCCCCTTCGGATGGTTGTGACTACGTGTGTTTCTTCCTCTCAGGCAAGGACAAACTATGACTCCCAGCAGCTGCTGCGACTTTTAGGCAAGAGCAGAAATTCCCAGTCTTTCCAAGTATATGGACCAATTTCGTTGCTTAAGTAACAACGGAGCTCCTGATATTAGCGTTTGTCGTTTTAGTGTTATTTGTTGAAAAACAATCATAGAAATCTACCATGTATGTAATAACTTTTAAAGTCTATTTGATGATATTGAACCCAACACTTTCTCGGTAAGTTTGAAAAAGAGTAGGAAAACTTGATAACATTGTTCTTTGAGAGTAGAGTTTCTAGGAACTTGCTTCTTGTTTACCAAGACATACTTCTACAGCTTGCATCCATTTTGTAAGCCAAGGGTAAAGTTAAATTAAAATCCAAAAGAATAGTGTATATGTATATCTCTGTGTTAGAAAAACAGACAACTTACAAATTCTTCTTTAGGTGCTTGGTGTACATATTTGCATCTCTGCCCCTTGGGGATAATTGCAGGGTTTCCTATCTACCAGAAGATTGGGAGCCGAGCACAACAAAACAAGACTTGTAGCCTTCAGAAAAATGTAGTACAGGAGTGGGAGTGTGCACCAGTACACTCCAGCCACTGCTAAGGCCAGGAGTCAAGACTCAGACAGAACTTTCCTAGGACTTCTGGATATGGTCAAACAGAATTGAATGAGTCCATAACTGCTCCCTTCCACCTGCCTGTCTCTGTAAAAGAGCTCGTGATCAGCTCTTGATTATTTGGGGTGATTATCTGAGGAGATTGAGCCCTAGATGTTACCATCCCACTCCTTCCCAAGCGGTTTCACAGTTTAGAAACCCGTGGTGTAAGTAGACAAGTGGAATGAGAAGCAATGCCCAGTGAAATCTGTTGCAGTGTTTGGCAATTGATTTGATAAGGAAGGATCTCAAGTGATCTCAGAATTCTTTGAATTTTATTTTTTACTCATAGTTAGTGAGGAGTTGAAGATCCCATGGGTAGCACCTCCTCCACGACTGAGACCACATACTCCTGACTGAAGGGTAAGAGCTGGAAGATAGTTTGTGCAGTGGCACCAACAGGACTGATGGTGTATGGGCTTGTCCTACTTTGCTTTGGGGGCTGCTTATGTGAGATTGGCCCATGAGAGAGTTAGAAAGCCACCGCCCCCCAACACTGTTGTGGGTGAGACTGAGCAGAATGGCTTCTTCCTGTCACTGCGTTGTGCCTGTTGCCTACCCCTGGAGGTACTCTGGAGCCAGCACAGATGGGGTACACAGTCTTTTTAAATTCTGTATGGTTGCCAGCTTATTTCTGTCTCTTGTTTACTGTAATATCTGATATGTTTTTGTTTATCTAATTTTGTACTCAGTTATAACTGTGGCAGGAGTAGTAAATATATGACAGGAGTAATCCCTAGTGCTGCATTAACCTGTCTTTCTTTTGGACAAGATAATACTGCAAGTCTCCATCTTTCTAATTTGTTTTCTCTTTTTTTACTCCACCCTGTTGCATCCCTTTTTCTTCAACCCTATCCTACAACTATTATATGCATAGTGTTCTCTGCTTGTAATTGTTACAAAATTTCACTTTTCAAAGTTGAAATCAAATGTTTGCTCAAATAAGAGGAGAATTTTTTTTTTTTTAATTCTGAGACCTCAGCAGAGTAGTCCTTTTGCTTCCTCTACCAACCCATCAGTCTGGGAGAGTGATGGGGGTGGAAATCGTGTTGCCTGGGATGCCAATTTCTTATATATATATAAAAAACATACATAAATATCTCTCCATTTGGGTTGGGGTTCGCATTCCCCCCTTGGCTTCACCCTGCCTGGCACATGCAGGCATTCCCCAGAGTACCCTGCCACTCTATGTGGGCAGGGTACTGTCAATAACAGACCTCCTAGGAACCGGGAGGAGGAACTCTTGGAGGGGAAGAAGTATCACTTCTTTCCCAAGTGGAGTGTTTACACCATGCTGTAACATTTAAACTTTCACAAGAGTTGTGATAATAAAATTCTTAACCATATTTAAAAAAGAAAAAGAAAGAAAGGTAGTACAGGAGAAAAGAGAGTTGTAGGTAGGACAATAGGAACCCCAAAACAGGGTGTGGTGGAGCACACTTATAATCCCAGCTACTCAGAAAGTTGAGATAGATTGCAAATTCGAAGTCAGCTTGGGCTACATAAGGAGACCCTGTCTCAGAATAAAATAACAAGGGCTAGGGGCAGGTCCCTAGATTCAATCCCCAGTACTAGCAAAAAACGGAAAAAGGAACCTCAGGGTGTCCATCTCTCGCACTTATTTTGTTCATTTGCCTAGGGTTGAAGTCACACAACCTTTTAATCTAAGTGGCAGAAAAAAGAAAATTGACTTTGATCTTTTTTTTTAAACTCTGCCAGGTGACCCATGGAGCTGGAAGCTGCTAAAAGGAAAGCTAAGGTACTGGACAATTTCCAAGCAGGTTCTCTTATGTTTCTGGGTCTGGTAGCAGTGCTTGCAGGAACCAGTACAAAGGGCAAAAACTCATCTGCAACTGGTAGAAAAACAGTTCTCTTTGTTGTTTATGTCTCCACCAGGAGAAGATAGAAGATAGAAGATCCAACACCAACTGAAACAAGGGAAAGGAAGTTGGGGAAAAGCTCATTTTAGCTATTGGACAGTCTCCTAGCTTTGGGAACCCACCCCCATTAGGACTACCAATTGTTTTCGGGAGCATTTCAGTTGTGTCTTCATGGTTTCCTTAGAATTTAGCTGGAACAGATCTCTTACAACCAATAAATGTAGCCCTACATGTCTCTATTTAACTGAAGGGCACCCTACCTTCCAACAATGTCAACCCCCAGCACAGAGCTGTCTATAGCACAAGGCAACACATCACCTCCTAGAACTTATGTCCTGGTCCTCTTGAGAATTTATACTCAATTAGATTGCTTTTGTCATTTTTAATATGCACACTGTTTTTGTTTCTCTAGGTTCTTTATAGTGCTGTTTTCTTAAAAATAGGTATTTCTTTTTTTTTTTTTTTTTTGGTTTTTCTCCGCTACTGGGAACCGAACTCATGACCTTGTGCTTGCCAGGCAGGCACTTTTGCCGCTGAGCTAAATCCCCAGCCCCTAAAAATAGGTATTTCTTTACAAAAGTCTTCCTGCTGTGAACAGAGTCCTCGTAGGACTAAAGAGAAAGGCTCAGGAAGAGCAGGCAAAGCTAAAATTGGGCATGAGGTTTGACAAGCAAAACCTATGGTAATGGTTTTGAAAAGGAGGTAGTCTGTATAGAGAGCCCTTCCCAGTCCTCCTCACGGCCCAGCATACATGTTTGTATTTGTAATCACATGAAAAGTCACTGGAATTCTAGTGAGTTAATTCCAATCTACAACTTCCAGCGCAACCCATGCAAAGAACAAAGGCACTAGAGCATATCTGTAGTTATGGGGAGCCAAGGGGTCCTAAGTCCAGCCATGATGATGGCTCTCGGGAACAAAGGCCTATACCCAGGACCAATCCTGTATTTTATTCATTTGTGAAGAAGGGAGTGGCTTGAGGATGAGTGACTGTAAGAGTGGCAGGAAGTACGTGAATGCCATGAGCTGGGCTAGATAGGAAGCCTGAAATCACCTCTGCCATATGCAGAGAAAAGGATATGCAGAAAGAGTAATCTGAATAACACAATTGAGATAGTGTCTAATGTTTTGGGGTCAGTGCTTCAGCTCTGATGTGTAATCTTTCAAGACCCAGGAAGTCATAGCCTCTGTTCCCAAGGCTCAATCCCAGCTGTCAGCGTGGAACATTGGCTCACCCATCCCACCTCATCCCCGCTCACTCTCACTCCTGGGAACAACCGGCGGGGGGGGGGGGTGTCCCAAGAAACATGCCTACCGTCTCTAAAGATTACCATCAGCGTCTCAGCTAGACCAATATGCACTGCTTAAAGCCAATTGAAGGGCTAAGGAAAGGGTCCTAGCCAGCTCTGTACATCTCAATACATGGAAATAGGGTCAGACTCAGCCAAAATAGAGGCAATTGCTCCTCTTTCAAGGAGAGTCACCTACGTGGTCCTCCACAGTCTGGAGAGTGACTCCAGTTGCTCAAATGTGACCAGGGGATGAGTCATGATATTTTACATACCCCATCATGTAGTCTCCTCCCAGAAGCCCTATACTTATTCATAAATTAAAAGATTTTCATAGACTGTCTCATAAGCATGACGATTTTCTTTTTTAGTAATTTTTAGTATTTGAAGGTACTTGAGGGTATTCTATTTGCAGAAGTAGAACCCCTCTCTGTCACAGTTTCAAAAATGGCAATACAAGCCATTTATAATTGAATTGTATCTGAAGTAGAGGGCATATCTAACTTCATATTATGTTTATTTAAATGGATTAGAGTTGGAGACATCAGTATGAACTCATGCTTAATGTATATACACATGATTACATATAGAAATATTTATCACTATGTGTATGGACACAGATTAGCATGCACATACATATCTCCTTGCTCTCTCATCTGAAGGGATTTAGTAGCATTGAGACTCTAGTAGCAATGAACACACCTAACTTTATGTGTTTCCTAGTTTCTCTATTTACTTTTGATTGTGGTGGTCAATAATTATCCAACCAATATAGATTACAGAAAATTATTAAATGAATTTGATTATCACATGAGAAACATTTGTTGGTTCTGCCAATAATTATAATTATACAACCTTACTCATATTTATAATGTCTTACTATGTGGTTTTCAATATGTGAATTCAGTATAACCATTTAATCAAATTAATTATATTCAAGCTAGCACATCCATGGTGGATTGACAACTGGTGGTCAATTTATAACATCCAGCTAAACTGATAAACTGAGTAAGAGTGGTGCTCAGTGAGAGAGGCCCACCTGAGGATTGTTGCCACTAGCATAGGAGGCAGAACTGGAGAAGAAGAAAAAAGGCTGTTGGGAGCTGATAGAAGCTGTTAGGAGCCTGTTGAAAGCTGAGAGAAGTTGTAAGGAGCTGTTGGTTCTCTTGGAGGAGCTTGTCATGCTGGCTTTCCTGATGAACTTGGCTGTTTTCATCCTCCAAGGAGCTCAGGACCTTATTGTCGCTGAGAATGGCTTCAGTTCACTTTTGAAGACCTCTGGTCCTCACTTTGAGCATCACTTCCTGATTGTGGAGGGGAAGATGGTGCACTGCCAGTCTTCTGGAGAAGCTTGTCATGTTGGCTTTTCTGATGGGAACTCAGTTTTCCTTATCATCAGAGGAACTCGGGACCTCACTGTTGCTAAGGATGGCTGTGGTTTCAGGGAAGCTCTGGTTCTTACTATTGAGCGTCGCTTCCTGGCTCCAGTGCAGATCCCTCAGCCTGCTACCACAGATCCTTCATCCCGAGGGCACAGATTTTCTAGATTCCACCACTGACCTTTGGGCCTTCCAGCGCAGATCCATGAAACATGTCCAGTGAATATGCTATCACTTTTCATGACCATAGTAACCAGAAGTACTCAAAAACAATGCCTAAATTTCCCACATTTCTCTTCTCTTTAGAAATGGTGTTATAACTGGAAACAGTAGGTCAAAGTTAGATAGGATGGTGCTTTGCCTTAGACAAACAGTGACACCAAAATTTGCCTCTGTGACTTTTCTTATCCCAAGGACTGGATCAGAGACTGTTGCTTGTCTTTAAGGACACTTTCATCTGTTTTTGAGGAAAGGAAATATTTCCCTAGATTATCAGACTTATGTGAAGAACTGTGTTTGTTTTGAAATGCACTATTTCTTTTCTTTTTTTTTTTGTTATTTTTTAATGGTAAAATATTTTTTTTCTTTTAAGACGTAATGGTGGTGATGAACTGTTGGATATTTTTCATGCCAGTCTTTTATAAATTGGGACATTGAAAGGACTTCATCAGGTCTTCCAATTTTTTAAAATCTTTTTTGTATGTTTTGTTTTTTGAGACAGAGTCTCACTTTGTCGTTTAGGTTGGCCTTGAATTCACCAAGATCTTCCTGCCTCCTCCTCTCAGTTACTGGGATTATAGGCATGTGCCACCATGCCTGACCTCATTTTTAAAAACTAAGTCATAAAGTTCATAAAGTTAAAAACTAAGTATTATTCTACTATGGTTAGATAACAACTTTTTTGATTCTTAAAATATGGCAGTAACTTCAAACTGGTTACACTGAAATTTCTGTACATTTGAGCTGTCCTTTGGTGATTCCTTTTTGTTAGTTTTATTAACTAAATTCTTAGAGGATGTTCTACTTTATCTCATTTACAAGGCATACTATCATACTTCAAGGTGTTTGGTTTTGGTTTGATTTGGTTTTGTTTTGAGACAATGTAGTTCAGGCTGGCCTCGAACTGACAGCAATCGTCCTGTTTCAGCCTCCAAAGTGCTGGAATTACAGGCATGTTTCACCATGTCCAGCATATCTCAAGGTTTTACAACAACCGATGAATTCACTTTCTTTGTTTTTTGGGGGTTTTTTTGGTTTTTTTTGAGACAGGGTCTCGCTGTGCAATTCAGACTGGCCTTAAGCTCACTTTGTAACCCAGGCTGGTCTTGAACTCGCAATGATGCTCCTGCCTCAGCTTCCCAAGTGTTGGGATTACAGGTGTGTGCCACCATGCCTGGCTTGAATTCACTTTCTAAGAGCACAAGAGCAAATATTATTGTAACACAACAACAATAATACCTTCCATTTCTTGGGCATCTACTATAGGCCAAGAACTATATAAATTCATTACATAAATTAATCCAGGTTGTCCTTACAGTGACCCTTATGAAGTAATTATAATTATTTGCATTTCAAAATGAGGCAATGAAAAAAATGAGGCAATGGGAGCATGGAGAGGTTATTAATTTATCCAAGATTTCATGGCTAATAACTAGCACTAGAACTCAAAACCAAGTATCTGATTCTAATGTTTATGCTGCAGGAGCTGCCCCCTTTGTTACTTCCTTTTCTTTCCTTGTTCCTTTCCTTTTCTCCCTCCCTCTCTCTCTCTCTCTCTCTCTCTCTCTCTCTCTCTCTCTCTCTCTCTCTCTCTCTTTTTCTTCCATG